TCGTGCATGATTTATGGGCAACTCATTTAATTTACGCGCGATCATTCATAACACATACACAAGTTCGATTCAAAAGTATACGAAGCATTTATGAATGACTCGCATTGTAAAGTTCTGTTTTAGGGATTTTTTTTTAAAAAAAAGTTCGTTTTTATTTCAATAAACGATTATACTACCGAGTCTAAACCTCCTGTGTGAATTTGGGCATCGTTACAAAAGCCACCCTGTATAGATGATAAAGGTAAAAATAAATATTATTGGGCGTGGTTGGCATTTCTTAGTTTTTGCCCCACCCAAAAAAAATAGAAGATCCGGGGCTGTGGATCACACTACAGTTAACTATACAGCGTGTCGTTACAACCGCGACAATAAATGAACACACGTATAGAGGATAAATGTTTAAAATTGTATTAAGCAACAATTTTAAACATCAATATTTACCGAGTTATTAAATTTTACAAAACAAACATTTTTAGAACACCTTACGTATAACACTGTAACGTAAAGTTTGTCTGTTTGTTTTTTTTGTGTTTGAATCAGTCAGTTGTAGTTCTATAGGTGTTAAAAATTTTGTTTCTTTTTTATTTAATTAGTTTGTTTGAAAAATATGTTTTTTTTATTATGGATTTTTTTTACTTTTTATATTTTTTATGATTATTGACAAGTAACGCTAGACGTGTGTTCATTTATTGTTGCGGTTGTAACGACACGCTGTATATTATCTATGGTCTGTAAAATGATGATGTTTATAGTTTTATATAGAGTTAAACAAAATCGGCCAGTGCGAGTCGCGCACGATGGGTACACATAAGCATAATAAAAAATGAAGAAAATCTAGTACCTACATAATTAATGTGACTGTCTAGACTCCAGGTTGAATATTGTTTTAAAATTTTATGCTACTTCACAACTGCCGTTAAATTGGGCGCAACCCTAACTATTATTATTCTTATCCCATTAATAAAATGAATTTTCCGAAAAAAGAAAAATTTTTATAAACTAATATAAGTACATGTACAATCATTATTGATCTAATATTTACAAGATTAAATCTATCTAAAACTACATAATTATTGTCTAATAAACCTAATCTACGCGGCATGGTGCCAAGAACGGTAGCTGCATTTCCTCGAATGAGTTAGTCCTCCTGAACAGTTATGCTTAACCTTTGAGCGAGAAAAGAACCAGCTCTCTTGTCACCATCCGAGGCGTTATTCCTAGGACATAAACTTATAAAAAATTTTGATGTGCGGGGACCCCACCGACCTAAAGTTTCAACAGCAAATGGCACAAATACATAATCTAAACATAAAGACTCATATTTGCGCCATTTATTAATTTATTAATTACTACTATTATTAAATTTAAATCATACCCATTACCAAAAAGAGTAGTAATGTTGGTTGTGAATTTTTCAAGCTCGTAAAACGTATTTATACCAAGGAGTTAATACAAAAACCGACGTTCTGTAATATGATATATATAGTTGTCAAATAACTTCATAAATATAAGGCGATAAGATTTTAACGACTTGAAATAAAATAATGATTATGTTGATCGACTCCTTATGCGGTTGTAATGAATATGAAGAAAAAATAAATGAAGATAGTTTTCCTAGTACCGAACAAATTTGGGGAATGTTAGGGGCTATACTGGCAACGGTTGGATGTTGGTTCATTTGTTCTGGAATACGTAGGAGACGTAGGTATAACTATAGATTTAAGTATTTGGTTACTAGTTCCACATAATATTAACATTATAGACCGTAAATTTATACTATGTTTGAAACATTATCAAGTACACTTGACATTTTCTTTCTTTCATCCGGTAATTATGCATAAACCCCACTAAATTTGTTAAATATGATAAAATATTGAAAATTTATCAAATTAACCGGTTTATTTGCATAACCCCCAACTCATAATGGTAAATGTCATAAAAGTCCTTAATCTTACGAAAATTGGTTCTGTTAACGCTATGTAGTTATACGATGTAATGAAAGTGGGCATTGTTGAAAAACTTATCTTTTCCGTAAGGAAAGATAGCTCCAACGTTAGATTTTATGAGTATTTACATTTATTACATTTGTATTTATATTTATTAGACAATGTTTGTAATATGGACAACAACGATCTATCCCAAAATGACACTACGTTTGAAGTAAATTTTAAGACTAAAAAAAAATGAAGCAGCGATCGCTCTAATCCAGACTTCTTATTTTATACAGGCAAGAGCAATGAAAAAACGTAGAATGAATGATAAAGAAGGTTTAGAATTACAAGCAAAGAAAATGTAAGGAGTTTCAAATCTTGAATTTCTAATTTCTGCTACTGGTAAAGTCAAACAACAACACATTGAAACTACAAATATCAGGAATTGACAGAGCAAGAAGTTATCCCCAAAATTTATTAGCGGCAATGTTCGAAGTTCAAAATGACGAGAGTTATCAGTTAGGAACAAAACAAGAAAACTTTCACATTTGTAAGCTAAAAATCATTTCACAATTTGTGAAGAAAATTTTATTTTTATCGACGATGATCCAGATCTAGCAATATCATTTTGGAAATGTATTAGAAAGACATCTCTTTCTGGAGGTCAGGGATATTATTAGCGATGTGTTTGAAAGGAACAATGCGAGTCTGACGCCCCAGTTTCTGAAACACTGATCATCGTAGAAGTTAAGTAATCAGCTGTTAAATTATGGCTTTTTAATTGTTATTTAAGTTGCCAAAAGGATGGTTAAACTCTCTGAATTGATCAGAATTATCTACGTAATGATCAGAATGTAGTACGTAAGTAAGTACAAGTATGTAAGTACGTACATACTTGTACTTACTTACAGAGCCGCTTTTCGTACTCAAGCGGGTCTGCAAGCTGAAGTGGTAATGGGCAGGGCACATAGCTCGCAGAAGTGACGGCCGAGCAAGGTTCTCAAGTGGAGACTACGTGTTGGAAAACGCAGTGTAGGGCGGCCACCCGCAAGATGGACTGGCGACCTGTCAAAAGCGCGGGACTTCGCTGGATGCAGGCCGCTTCAAACCGATCAAAGTGAAAATCCCTAGAGAAGGCCTATGATCAGCAGTGGACGCTTACAGGCTGAAATGATGATGATGATGATGATGCATAATTACCGGTTATTATATACAATCAGCAGTTTATTACTTTATCGTAACATATACCCAGATACTAGAAAAACACAATGTTCATCTCACAATATTTTTCCAGTAGTGGGGATCGAATACAGACCCTTTGGCGCACGAGATAGGTCCATTATCCACTACGCCAGTTTACGTCTGCCAATTCGTATTCATGACACTCATTAAAAAAAACCCTCGATATAAAATTAAAAAGGAAATTGTGTTTTGTGAAATCACAATGCAAGTGAAACTTTTTTTTTCCGATACTTTGATTTCGGAAATCACGATGCAAGTGAAACGTTTAACTGAAAGTTAAGTATTATAAAATAATTAAACATTTATTAAATTAAATATAAATGCTACACGGTTGGCTGATGCAAGCCATGGGCGCCGTCATATTGGCCTTGGCTTCTCTGCCGTTTCACTTCACTCACTTTACTCCGCAGCCAGCCGTAATGCGACATGAGATACACGAATGATGGACGAAAAAATTTAAAAGAAGTTTCACTTTAAAAAATTCTGTAAAAGACAAAAAAAGAAATGATTTGTAAACTGTTTTTCTTTCCAATAGTACCTATTTTATTTCTTACCCATATGAATAATACAAAAGGTAAATAAGTTTAATAGTGTGAGAGTCGTGGAGTCAAGACCTAACACAATAAATACTTATCTAAAAAACGTAAATTAACTAAGTAACTTGACTAAGGCTTTTTCTGTGCAGAAGTTATTATCGTATAGTCCACCATACGACCCCGTCTAGGATTTTTTATGTGAGAAAGTGGCAAGCGATCTGGTGGTTCACCTGATGCTAAGTTCCGCCGCCCATGGACATTTGCATCTCACGTAGGTTTGCAGATGCGTTGCCACCTTATAATGAAGTGGGCCCCGGCTTTCACTCTTCCACTTCACGCTGGTCTTCTGTGAGATCGTGGTACCTGCCCATTCGTACAACAGCCAAAGCGGTTGCGTGGCCCTACCACAGTAAATCAGCACCTCGAGATTTTTTTACACTTAGTGTGACAAACACTTCTTTTTTTTAAACTGATGTTAACGCTTTCAGTTCATCGAACGCAGAACCGGTGGGCTAGGTTTCTCCCAGGGGAGCGGTTGGCCATAAAGAGAGAGAGACAAACACTGCTACATTCCAATTACTAAAACTCTGCTGTCTATCTGTCACCAGGCTGCATCTCATGAACCGTGATAGTTAGACAGTTGAAATTTTCACAGATGTATTTCTGTTGCCGCGATAACAACGAATACTTAATAACAGAATAAAAAAACGACGAATGAAACTTATGAATGTGTGCTTCTGTACTTTCGACCGCTGCGACCGGTGATTTTGTATGCGTATAGTACAAAATTAATGTCATTGCTTAAAACAAACTGGTTAAATTTATAAACGAATCTTTCCATATTTAATGTAGTTGACAAATATTTTTTTATTTATACATTTGCTACTTTTAAAACTATTTTTAATTCTTTTACAGGTGAATGTAGTAAAATTGAGAAACTGACACTTTTACATATTTAATGTAGTTGACAAATATTTTTTTATTTATAAATTTGCTACTTTTAAAACTGTTTTTTAATTCTTTTACAGGTGAATGTAGTAAAATTGAGAAACTGACACTTTTACCGAGTTTATAAATCTTATATTAAAGTGAAAGTCCTGTAATAAAACAATAAACGAAATGTTAATTGTTTAATAAAAATAAAATGTGTTTTTCTTAATATGGCAAAGTAATAAAATAATAATAATAATTTTGACATCATCCATGCACCAATAAAACAAAAGCTTTTTCATTCTATATGATTTAACTAAATAAAGAATCTTAATTCAATAAAAATATATACTTAAAATTAAAATGTATTATTAAAGAAACAGACTGTTTCCTCTGATACAAATTTTGAGCGTTCTTGTAACATATATTTCTGTTCATCTTCCACTCGACCCTTCTTCAAAAGGAAGACCAATATGAATTGATATGGAAAAATCGGCACATTGTGATGGAAAAAAAAGCGAAGCTTAACTCTTTCTATGATTTTCATATCAACAAAACAATAATCAGCAGAACAACAGCTTCCAGGAGTTCTAAAAAAACATAAATCATGTTTAGAAACAACAGTCAGATATTTATAAAATAGAATGACATACATGCAATTTATGCTTATGCATGAAGGTATTCATAATAAATAAATAGATTTTTGTCATAAGAATGAAAATAGGAAACTGATGATACATGAAGTTAATTACTTATTACCTCCCTCCTAAATCTTTTAATATTTTCCATTATGTTTAAAGTTCTCAGTAATGACACACAATTATAATAACTTATCTCATGGTAATTCCCCAAATCATGTTTCTTGGGCTCACAGGAAATTAAGTAATATATTAGTATTATGGAAATATCAATATATTGTTTATGTCCTGTGTACTTATGTATGTTAACGCAATTAAAAATAATGCCAGTTTAAAACAAAATATTACTGTTAAGATACAATTCTACCAGTGTGCTGAACTGTGCGGCACAGTAATTGTCAGTGTATAAACACAGTATTTGTTCTGGTCGTCTCACTCAAGCAAACAGAAACAAATTGTGCGAAAAAGAAGTGTTCTTCACTAAGCGCGTATAAAAGTTACACTCAACCATGCCTGTGGAGTCTGGGGCTATACGCGATACTGCCTGAGTATGTGCACTGCTAAAGTTTAGCACAAAATGTTTTGTAACAAATGTACTGCACACGAATTTGGTGCAGTCATACTGTTATGGTAACACAAAAAAAACAAAATGCTTGTCAATACTGTTTTTACTAAGATGATGCAGATACAAGCCAAAATGGCACTGCAATATTACTTGGATTTAATTTTAATAATCATACAAATATTATATTAATTAATCCATTTTTTTTTTCCTTGCAAATTATTCTTGAGGCAATTTGACATTATGTCTAATATAATGTTTCAGGAAGATGTGTTCAAAAGAAGGTTAACAAAGCAGAAATATCAAGTGATATAAAAATTGGAATGGTGTTCCATATTAATTTAAAAAAGATATTTTCTTGCATAACTTTCATATGTCAACTGTCATATAGAAAATCATCTTGATTTGTATATAGATTAAAATTATATAACTCAAGACTCATAATAGTATAATAACTAGTCACAATACCCACAGATCTGTACAAAAGTAAAAAAAAGTAAACTAACATCCTATACATATCCACGCCTGGGTAAAGGCCTACTCTATGCAGAGGGTATCAGGGCATAGTCCACCACGCAGCCACACTGCTGGTTGGCAGACTTCACATATCTTCTAAATATTTTTTGTATTACTATTTAAAGAATATGCAGGTTTCCTCAAAATGTTTTACTTCACTGCTGAGCATGTGATAATTCAGCACTTATAATTAACAATTTCATTGGTGCTGGTAATGGGGATTGAACTCAGGTTGCTCAAGTAAATTAAATTAAAGGTGAGCGCCCTGACACTGAGCTATCACGGCTATCTATCCAGAGATCTGACTCGTTGTTTAATATCAATGAGATATAATGATAAGTCATTAATAATAGAAAATAAGATTATGGTACCTCGGATCATATGTCAATGGTTTTGCTTTAAGTGCTTTAAAAATCATTTGATAATATTGCCTATATTTCTTCCGCATAATTAAAACAATCTGTTTCCCTTCAAAAGGAAATTTAGCATCCAGAGCTTGAAGTTCCAAATGCCAGAATACTGCAGCTTTTGCAACTTCAACATTTGTTGCATCTATTTCAACTATTTTAGGATGTTTTAACCACTCATACATGTCCTCCTAAAACCAAGAATTCAAAATGTTTAAATTACTTATGAAAATACATTTCTATGATTACATGTCACTATTGAAAAGCTATTCAAATTTTTGTGTGGACACTATTATCAGTGAAATCCAACAAGTATTTTCTTTGTATATTAAAAATTGGCAAACCTCCAGGCAGTTCACCGGATGTTAAATAATTAACTGCCACCCATGGACAACTACAACACTTTATGAAATGTAGATGCTTGCCAAATTAAAAAATCCTACAGAGTATAAGATTTCTCTTAAGCTGTTTTACAACTGTTACTGTTTTAACTGATGGTATCACTTTCATCACAAAATATACTTTTACAAAATAATCTTCAAAATTCTTATTCTTTTATTTAAAACTAACAGAAGGAAATTTATAGACCCTGTTGCCGTCAGATCTATAGTGGCGGAATTAATATTAGACACCAGGTTTGTTCGAGATTTAGGATGGGTTGTTCAAAATCATTACAGTGGACGAGGTCTAATGATGGCAACACAAAGTAGTCTCTTGTTGCCACAAGGGACTGGGAGAAGAAGAAAAGTGGTTGGTCTTCCCAGGGGAATGTTCATGTGCTCCGTTCATAGGGGCACCAATGTGTTCCGCAGCCTCACCCTCCATACTGAGGTGCGAGTGAGATGAAGTGCCCCAGAAACAAAAAAGCACGCATTTTCAATTAACATTTAAAGTGGACTTTTTAAATGTTTTTTTCGAAATACTTACACGCAAGAACTTTTTACATCGGAAACTATCGTATATGAAGCTAATGTGAAGCAACCATTTGCCAGTAGCCAGGGAACACACCATCATTCCCGTAAATGTATCATTTGGTAAAACTGAAATGAAATGTGTGGCCATCATTTCCATTTTAGTGTTTTCCGCAACCACTCCACCTAATTCTTTGATCATTGCCACTATTCGGTCACGGTCCTGAAATTAATAAAAAGTAATATTAGAGGAACCAGAATGTATAAATTAAATTAGCTTTAATTGTATTTCTATATTTTTTATGAACTCTTTGTTTGTGTAAATTATTAGTATTGTGTTTACATTTAATTTATCATAACCCGATGTTTTTGTTTAACTTTAGGGAAAATTTTCATCAATGTTCTTAATACAGTAGAATGGCATTGGAACCCCAGCTGCAGCGATCGTTTAAATGGTTGATGGGAGTGGTGATATCCTTCTAGTGTGGTTTGTTTGTGTAGACCTACGCTTTAGAGCTGATCATGCTTTGAAGTTAAGTCTAGCTCTTGGCATAGTTCTTAGCCAATTCTTAAATTATGAAATAGCGATAACGTAACATGCCTTTAATATAAGGAAATTAAAAGGCTACCGTGGGTTCGCGGAAAGTAGGTCGAGGGGCATTCCCCATTGGATGAAGTGAATCTCGAGAGGGGACAAACTTTGGTCACCGATAAGCCAGTCCTCATCAAGGTACTTTTATAATTATTTAGGAAAACAAAAGGTTGATGTCAATAGGCTAGAGCAGTGGCTTGCTCTACAGTGATTAGAGAAAAACTTTAAAGGGAAGGCAGACTGCAGGAATTTAGAAGAATGCTTATACATTTAGTTTTCTTTAGGTCCTTATTTTTTGTTTTAATACGGTTTTGCTTTATAAATTATAGGCTATGTGTTACTCTGATGTATAAGCTATAATATTGTAAAGTTTCATTAAAATCTATTCAGTAGTTTTTGCGTGAAATAGTAACAATCATCAAAGTTTTTATGAATGGATATTCATAAAAACTTTTGCTTTTATCTTATCCTTTAAACAAGCAATCCTTGTATATACATATATATGTTATAATAGCTGGGTCGGTATTCGGGGGGCCCCGAAACAGAAGGCCGTGGTTCGTGTCACGATCATTTACACACGTATTTTTTTAATTTTTTTTCGATACCAGACCATTGCTTTATTTATTTTTATTTGTTGTTGATCCAGATGATATTGTTATTTTTTTGTGAAAAATACCAGTTCATATTTTCTTATTACGTCGGTTAGATCGAAAAATATTATGCATATTTCATTACTCAGTAATTTGTATCTAAATGTAATTTCCAAAATACATGATTTACCAAAAAAAAAAAACCAAGCAAAGCTTGGTCCTCCAGGTACTAATATTAGTAAAGATAAGGATGCAAGGCAGTAAGGATTCTACTTACATGGATAAACTCTGACAGCATAAATATTTTTTTGTCACAGGCACAAATCAAATTCTGTTTCATTTTCCATGACTCTTCTGAAGCACCGCTTGGTGAATGGTAATCACTATCTAAAAGTAAGAATAACAGTAAACAACTTCAGTTATTATTATCAACAATGACTTGAATCAATGTGATTTACCTGACATGGTTTCTGGATATGTGGCCTTTATGGTACTTGTTACTGATTTTGGATTTATCGGTGCATAATTATTTGACTTCTTTTTGAGTTTATAATTATCGATATATTTTCGAAATGGCAAATATTGCGACGTTTTAGCTTTACTGGCTTCAATCCAGTTACGAAAACTAACTTTCTTTGGAGTGCTGTGCTTGCTTGTCGACCTGAAAAGTAAGTTTAATTTTCTTTATGAAATTTAGTGAAACTTTACAAATGCCTAATAAAAAGAATCCCCATATCCAAGCACCATAAAATTTAGTTATCATTAATAAAAGCAAAATTTAACTACCTATAGTGTAGTTATATACATTATTATTTATCTTGTTAGGTATTAGTTTCAGCAGAATTGACGCACCAAACATGCCAAAATTTCTAGTACAACTCACTCGCTCCCTATTTTAGAAAGGAATGATTTAAATGGACTTGATTTAGGTGTTTCTTTGTCTTCAATTTTTCGGCACTCAATCTCTTGATAAATATCTTCAATAGACCAGCCAATTTGACGACGTACAATTTTTGGCTTTCTAGTTTTCTCCAATGTTGGAGCAAAATCTACACAATCTTCACCCTTATCAAAGAGTGATCTGATGACTTTAAAGTGAGCATTTTTAAGATGTTCCAAATATATAAATTTATCTGTATAAATTTCATGGCACATGGGGCATACAAAATGCTGCAGTTTTACATTGGTAGTACATTTATTGATATGGATAACATAGTCGTCGTAATTATCATATTTTTCTTCACAAAGTACACATGGCACACTAATATATGATGGCTGATTGTCATTATTTAAGCTTGATTTCACGGGTGTTATTGGTGGCGTAATATCAGTAGCTACCAGAGTCTCATCGCTGCCTGAACCTATACCTGAACCAGTTCCAGAATTTTGCATCTCATTATGCTCGATAGTACAAGTCACATTGCATTTATGAGCTCCGAAATTGTTGTACGACTGACTACAATATACACATTTAACTGAATCAACATCACTGTCAGTCTCATCGCTTATTTCGTCAATAGTTTTTAAATGTGATTCATTGTTATAGTGTCTCATATTATTTTCATTATTTTCACCTTCTACTATTCCATCATCCGAATGTACATGAAATTTTTTATTGTAAAATTCACTAAAGTTATCAAGAGAAGGCTCAACAACTTGTTCTGCTACAAGAAAATTAAAAAAAAAATTATACCAACAATTGTAAAGTGTGTCCACATGATAGTAGTGTATAAAGATACTGTAGAGTACCACAGTATCATTGCTTATCATCTATTACTAATTTAACATAAGACTATGATAACTTGACTGTGGTAGTGCACAGTAGAAAAATCTGTTGCTTTGTGAATAACTTGTCCACCTTACCCACTTACCAGAAATTTAAAAATATATTACCTTTCACTTTATAAGGGTCTTCCATAAGGCGGTTGTTTTCTACATCAAACTAATTTACCCACACAGCAATCTCAGCAAAGAAACAGCCAATATCTTATGTTAAATTAGTAATAGATGATATAGCAATAATACTACCACTATTGTACACATTATTTTGCTATGGTAGTTACATATAAGTTTCTATGTACATATATACTTTTTAGGGTACCCAAAAGGTAAAACTGGACCCTACTACTAAGACTCCACTGTCTGTCTATCTGTCTGTCCGTCTGTCACCTACAGTCTCATGAACCATGACAGTGAGACAGTTTAAATTTTTAACAGATGATGTATTTCTGTTGCTTCTATAACAACAAATACTAAAACACATATTAAAATATTTAACTGGGGCTCTCATACAACATGCATGATTCCTTTGCCGTTTTTATTGGTAATGGTATGGAACACTTCATGTACAAGTCCAACTAGCACTTGACTAGTATTTATTACAATATCATCCATCATGGTCTTAGAAAAACATTTATCATTAAATTTTTTATGTTAAATAATTAATATGAAATGAAACTACCTACCTGGACATTGGTGAAGAAAGGAGTTTGTCCTTTCACATTGTAATTTAAACAAATAAGCTGCACTTAAGTTTTCCACACAAGTTGAGCAGACCCTGTCTGATAGACCGTCGCCTTCCTGAATCTGTATTTAAAAAATAAAAATTGAATGCAGAATATACGCTTTATTAACTTAACATGCTTACTTTAATAACTTCAGCTATTTTTCCTTTTAATATTGAGACATATATCTCAATATTTTCTACAGCAATACACTATGTTTCCTCAAAATAAATTTATGAAGTAATTAAATAGAAAAATAATTGCAATAAAATATATATTTAACACAAGACAAAATTTTTTTAAGAAATTATTTGCAAATTACTCAGATTTTTAAGTTACACCTGGCATAACTATTAGCCGTGCAATAAAGTTTGAAGACATTGTTATTATTTACAAAACAACAAAATAATAATCCTGCAACCTTAGTATTTAACTATTAAAAATAACAACTTTCGATTAAGATATATTTACCACCCACCTGAATATTAGCAAATGCCATCACCATGTCCGATAACTTGAGTGAACCATCATTTTCGAAGATTGAACAGAATTCTCCCAATTTTAAACACAACCTACATTTCTGGAATGTTTTCGTCATTTTTATGGTGCAACTAACAACTGATTTATTTTAAGTAATGATTTTAGTAACAAACTATTAACTAATTAAATTTAAGTGGAACGCTTCATCTCCTACATATTCGAAATCATAACGCTCTTCAGCAATTTTAATTTTCAGTATATATGTCTTATCTATGGCAATTAGCATTATAGTGCTGCAGTGACGTTTAGGGATGAGTAAAATTAATCGATTTTCATAATAATGTACTATTTTATTGATTGATTTTTTTCATTAATATAAATTGATTATTAAAACATGTAGAAAAAGTACGAAAAGATTGTCGCCGCAGTGGGAGTCGAACCCACGTCTTCGGCATTCGCGGCCTGACGCTCTAGCCACTGAGCTAAACGGCTGATTGCCACAGCGACGAAAATCTTAACGCCTTCTTTCTACATTGTTATTTAGCATTTGAAGCAATGCTTGGCGCATCTATTGTTATATCCTTTCCAGCATACAAACAATTTCGAATATCGTTTTACAACGATAATTCGAACTAGAGATGTCGCCATTGCTTTTTATAAATTTTAAAGTTTTTTATAGTGCTAATCTCTTGTCTTCGGCATTCGGGTTCGATTCCCACAGCGGCGACAATCTTTTCGTACTTTCCTACATATTTTAATTTCAATCTTAAACGCAGAGATTAGCACTATAAAAAACTTTAAAATTTAAATCGATTATATCAATTTACCATATTAATTGATTGGAAATTAGTTTCGCAACTTGAACATTTACGGCTAAAATTATTTCAGTTTTTCTTTTTGTTTAAAGTTCAAAATTTTAATAATAATAATAAAAGGCGTAGGGAAGTGACATCCCCATCGCCCACCGACGTAACAGTTAAGTGACAGAACTGTTACGTCGGCGCAATCAGTCAGCGCCTTGCCAATAGGTGTTTGCACCGTGTGTCGGCAAAAGTAAGGGTGCACGGTAACTTGTACTTAAACCGGTACTTTGAGGGCTTCTTCCGTTAAAAGACGCCCCACCGTAAAATGGATGGTGAAAAACCGAAGAATACACATACACGCATAGGGCCGCTGCCTGGGCGCCGCCAGAGCACGTCTGGAGCTGGCGTTGGACGTGGCAGCATGCGGGACGCCAGCCGAGCGCGGGTTTCTGCACGACCACCAAGCAGTACCTCACATCCATCATCCCCAGCAGTTAGCTTGGTGTCGGCAGGATCCTCTCGGATCCAGCAATCGGCACTCGCCGCTAGTGGAATACGCCGCTTGCGCTGGACGCAACACGAACCAGAACGCAATGCGGGCGTATCTTAGGTCAAAAGGGAGTGAAACTGGAGGGTTTGCGTATCGGGCAAGGCTGGATCGCTTTTTTGCTGAGCTGGTCTTGAATGGTAGATGTGGCTAATGGAATCGCTTTCAAGCTAAAAAGACACTTAAGGACTAATTAGAAAACTATTTATTTTAACTTCAACATTTTGAACTTATTTTTGACGAAACGTAATCATTATGAAATTTATGTATAATACAAGAGTTATATCAGAGAGCTAGACATGTTACTTCTATAAGCAATTTTTACGGAATCAATCAAATATAACACAATTCAGTCTGAACAAATAAAACTAACTTTCCAAATTTAATTAAAAATAATTTAAACATAATACATAAACCAAAAAGATCAGAGTTGACATAAAAGAGTATATATAATCTGAGATTACCAACCAACAGCTGGAGCCATCTATAACCATCACCGAGCAAAATTTCAATAACGGTCTCGTTATATCGAAGAGAAAAAAAGAGTATGTGTAAATGTACAATATGTGTTATGTAACTAATTATCGAGTAAAAAATATCGATAAATCGATTTTTCAATATATTTTTAAGGTTTTTATTATTATTTAGATTTCTAAAAAAACCATTCAAAATTCGTTTTCAAAAAGTAATTTATTAAGAAAAATGTAATTAAAAATTAAAAAAAAAAAGTAATTTGTAAGAAATTTATTCGAACCAATAATCATATGACATGGCCATTATGAGCACCCTCTGTTTAATATGCTCCCCTGTCAAACGGCTTCTAATTTCTATTATTGTTGGGTACTGTCAGATTCACAGCCCTTTTTTTTATGTGAAAAGTTGCCAAAGAAGCAGACGGTTCACCTAATGTTAAGTGAAAACCGCCGCCCATCGACATCTGCTGGTACACTCGAGAATTAGATGCGTTGATAACCTTTTGAAAATTGGGCTCCGGCTACCTTACTCACCAGACGAAACGCGAAAGTATTTGTCATACTTCCACTTTACGCCGGTCTTCTGTGAGGTCGTGGTACTTACCCGGACGGGCCTGCCCATTCGTGCAACAGCCGAGGCTGCTGCGTGGCCCTACCACCGTAAACTTTTTCAGATGTTTTTTGAATTTAACTTCTTTTTACGGTGTTTAATAGGGTAATTGCAGATTGCATATAATTGTAAAATGTTAATCAGTCCGACTTATTGTGAATTTACGTCTGTTCATAATATATTAAATTCGTTTAATTAGTAATATAAAATGCCAAAGGGTGAGAAAATTGCCATCGGATATGTTCAAAAATATGCAGCTAAGTGGGAAAAAGACAATGAAATTAAAGGTATGTTTAATTCAGATCTTTTATACAATTATAAAAGATCTGAATCATTCAATAATGATACTTTTTCCGTTTATTTATTGCCTGATTCTTAAAAATAAAGGAAAGGATAATAACCTCAAAATAAAATGTATTTAATTTGTATAAATATTTTTACGTTAATTAATAATGCTCAAGGTCAAGTATATTAATTAAATAGGGGGGACGACGACGACTCGGCCAATTCGGAGAGCACGAGTCAGCTCGACTCGAGGCTAATTAGATAGGAAGTATCAAGTCAAGTAAGTATATAATGATGTTGAATCGTGATGTTATATGGCTACTCGAGTCGATTCGCAACTTTGTATGTGGTCTGAATTAATCCTATCCTTTTTCTATACACCTCGACCCCGAACAGTGTCCGACGGTTGGGATTTCAAAGACAAAATTTACAATCAATTGGCACTAGTTTGCAATTTATTTAGTTCGAAAATCAATCAACAAAGGTGTATATTATTCCAGCGCAGATCTCAACATCGTGTTTAAGAAAATACGACAAAAAAATACCGCCATCTATCGCCTCAAAGTCGTACTTATAAAATGTACATAGTCGATTGCTTATCGAAAATAATGTTAAAAAAAGTTTCTGTTTTTATAGCAAAGAATTCGGACGCCACACTTCTGTTATTTGACGTCGTTACAAACAAAACAAAACAGATCACTAACAAATCAAAAATGTCAGTTCGCACGCGGATCGCCAACGGCCAACTAATAAAAACAAATAACAAAATGTCAATCAAAAAACAAAATAAACTTTTAAAGCGGTTTTTCATTTGCGCAATTCTGAATTCAAAACCCGAGTTCTATTCGAGTTGATGCGAGTAAGATGCAACACCTTACGAACGGCGCGCGCGCGTGTAACGTAACTTTGAATTCGCTCAACTCGAGTTGATGCGAGTTGCAACACCGTACGAACGGCGCGCGCGCGTTTATCGTAACTACATTTCACTCAACTCGAGTTGATGCGAGTTGCAACGCCTAACGAACCGCGCGCGCGAGCCGCGTGTGTAACTCGGAACAACTCGTGAGGCCGCCGCGTATAACGTCCGGCTTGCGTTCGGACGACCGAGTTGATTCGAGTTGCTTAAAACTGAACTCGAGTTGACTCGTTTAAGGTTTGACTCGAGTTACTCGAGTCAAATAACTCGAGTCGCACATCGCTACTTTTTAGGCATGAGACATACCTGCACATTCTATACCCGGCCTCAAAGGTACGGGATTTAATCAGTCTAAATTAAGCTTCATCTTTACCAACGTAAAGAACCCTATTGTAAAAAAAAAGTAATTCAAAATAAATATTACTGTTTAATCTTATTACGCAATTATTTATCTACCTAATTGTCATAGAAATAAAGAATAAATTTATCTCAAGGAAATATTTGGTATAAAATGCCTAAATCATACGTTTCAATTCGGGCATGATCGGAAAGAGCCACTTCGTACCTTATCGGCCGGCGGGTTGTCGCGAGCGTATATACCGCCACCGTCGGACGAGGCGGCCAGCCATACCCATCGGGTATGGAACGGGCCTCTGCCGTACATACCCGGTGTGCGTACTGGCATGTTCATACTGGGTATTTATACCTGTTCCAGTATATACGACTCATCCCTAGTACTTTTGTATATCTGAAAGTTTTGTATATCTGGAGTAAGTATTCTTGAGGAGTTATTTTTATTTATTTGAGACCATTTGTTTCTTCATCATTAATCAAATAATCATTATTGTGTTAATCATTATATCATATAGACCGCCTTAGAAGAGAAGATTATTTATATTAAAGTTAATTTAATGTAAGTGTGTAAACATATACCAGACCAGAGGAATCAAAATACATAAACATTAAAAAAACCTACATTGCTTTTTGTTTTTTTTGTGACCAGTTTTAAGATCAGAAGACAGAACGTTAAATAAATTTTTTTAAGAAGTAAAAGAAGAAGTTGAAAGAAGTATACCAGTTAGTAAAAATTTTGTTCATTTCTATGTATGGTGAGCCAAATTTACTGACTAACTGGTTCCTGTTCTACAAGTGCTAAGTACATGCATTAAGCATTTTCATGTACGGTATCTCACACGTTGATGCGAGGACGTGCTGGACTAGTAATGTTAGAATAAATAGAATCAAAACATAAAAAATTTAAATATACTTTAAAAAATAAAACTAACGCCATAGCTGAAATTTTCACTATTAATTGGCATAATGCAACCTGAGCTTCATACTCATTTAAATCTGTATCAAAAGCCTTTTCCTTCTTTTGGTAAACCAAAAGTAATAGGTTATATTGGTTATGAAAATCTATTGTTTGCGAGAACAATTCAAAATAAAAGAGTAAATATAGACTTAAATGTTCTAATTGATGAAGTAATACGCAAACCGCAGAATTTAGATGTGAAATTAACAGATCTGTTGCAGTTTTTACTAAAACATAACACAAGGTTCAATTTGTCTCTAAATACAAATGCAGCTTTTAATAACTCCACATTTTTCTGTTATCGCGGTTTAATGACTTGTATTGCTTGCACTCCATATGAAAAGAGAGATGCTTGGAGGATAGTGGCAGTACTTTATTTAGGTAATATTTATTTATGTGCACGCGACACAGAAGAAAAAATTAAAAGGAAACAGAACATTACAGAGAAAGAACAAAGATTTACTTCATGGGGTTACAAGTTTGAACAATCAGTTTTGTCAGGTAAAGCTGTTCTTTGCCTTACTGTTAGGGTGTATGTTAGTAAAAAATCTAAATTTTATTGTTTGTTTTAGAAAAACCAAACACTCAACCAAATCCAAATTTACCTGTGAATGAAAATAAAGAGTTTTCTTTGGTTTTTAAAACTAATTTAAATAATCATATTATTATATATGGTGCTGAAATGGATGGAATTCGTTGTGACAAAGGTCCAGTACAACAGCCACCGGAAGTTGAAGCTGACACAGAAGTTATTTTAAAGTACTTGTCTGATAAGGAGTATATAGAAGTAAAAACAAATAGGCATTTAGAATTTCATAATCAAGGAAGGAATTTTAGGTGTATATTGAAATATTTTTCTTTATGTGTTTTTGCATGTAACTGGTTATATGTATGTCCATTATAAGCATTTATTTTTCAAAATAATTGGTAATATAAAAAAATATAAAAAATCATAATTGATACAAGGCTAAGAATACTTGTTATCAATTCTATTATAGCTATAAAACAATTTTTTCATTTTCCAGGATCCATAAAACGAAAAAATGGTGGTGCCAGTCATTTCTTGCAGGAGTTAATACTATATTATGTGGGTTTAGAAATGATGATGGAGTTGTTGAAGAACTTAAAGTAATGCAAGTAAATGAACTTCCAAAAATTTCACGGGTAATATTATGCTTCAATATTAAATACTAAGCTCATTTTGTGCCCAACACCCAGCCACTACACAGCAGCTGATCTAAGGATAAGATATGCAGTTTTATTTTTATTTTTGCAACACAAAATAATTTATTTGTTGTCTATATACCATAGATTTAATTTTTATTATTGGTTATAAATTTAGCTATATTTAAAATAACTTTTTGTTATTAGCATACCCTTTGTAATACATGTAAACTTGATTGGTATAGTTACATAATTATTAGACTTGGCACATATTAGGCAAATGTTTTGAAACAGGATAAATTGAGATTTATTAACTTGGACACCAATTTTCTGGTGGTTTTAGGCTAAACAGTACTTAATATATAATTTTCACTGTGTTAAGAGTCACACAAAGAAAATTAGAGAATTTGCTGTTAGTCACGGGTAAATTACCTGCAGACTTGAAAAGAAGAAGTTGGTACACGATGACGCTGTCTGATTCGATGCATTTCAGTAAACCCTAAGATAAACAATTCAACTAGACTATCAAGGGGTGGGAGGTTCGGCAAAGTCCAAGTGGGCCGCTATCAATAGCGGAACTTATCCTTAAGAGACATACTTATCTAGCTACTAAGTATGTATGTCAAACGATTGGCTCCGAAATTTTAATCACGAAATGTGTTAATTAAGGAGATGATTTAATTTTTACGATATTTAAATGATAAAGTGAAAACAAAATTCTTTTGTGAGAAGTAAAAAATTTGTAACTAACTATGCGATAATCGAACGAACGTGTTCAGACTCACTATTAAATAATATTAACAAAACTATGTAAGCATAAAAAGCGGCCTCGTACGGGGGCTATCGTGTATAATCTATAGTGTGAAGGTTGCGAATCGAGGACCCTAGACTCGCCGACGAGTGCATTGAACCTTATGTGTGTTTGTTGTGAAAATATTTGTAACTTAAGTAGGTACATAATATAAAATTGATAAAAAACCACTAATTAATGAGAAGTAATAAGATTTCTAACGATTTTACCTTGATCCTAATATTTTAACTATTACTGAACTTGAATATTAACAACTATTGTAATGACAAGTAGCACTACTGGTTATATAACCGTCCGGGAAGTGACCGCAGCTGCATGCGACCATGTGTCCCTTGGCTCGAGTAGATAACGTCATATCCAAAGGATAAGTAATAAGGATGTACAAAAAGTGTAACAATTTGTACATTACACATTTATTGCACTATTTCTTAGAAATTACGAAAAATTTACTTTTTACTCAGTACAGTCTCCATTAAATTCTCACAATCGAATCAAAGTATATTCATCATCATTTAACAACTGTACAAAAGCCCGAGAATGGTTGTTAAAAACATATAAAATCAATACATGTACCTTATAACATAAGAAACACTTGGATTTTATCTTTACAGAACTTCTGGGATCCAAATGTCTGCATCAATTTTCTAGAAACATTTTTGACATATGTGAAAAGGTGTCTGGAGAGGGAAATAAAATATAAGTTTGGACAACAGGCGTTAAAAAACATAAAACCATTGCCATTAATAAGTTTACATTTTGAATGGAAACCAGGTGAACCGGTTATGGTAACAAATGATTATAATTATGAAGATGACCCTATATTGCCTCAATGGTATGTTGAGAATTTTAAGCTGAATGCACTTTAAGTTCTGAGCATTAATTACAGTAGTACAATGATGTGTTTCGGTAGGTGTAAGTTATAAGTAATGAACAAAGCATTTCAAATAAGAATTTGTTTAAGTCTTTAGAAGGGGTTAAGCTGTTTATGTTATTTGTTTGTTAGGGTTCACCTTCGATTGGCCTTTCAAGGCCGCAATATTATATTCAAGTATGTAAACCTTTCAATTGTTTCAAAGATTGCGCGCAAAAATACTTGCTTATAAACCACTCAATGGATCAAGGTTATGATCATATGAGAAACGATATTTTTATAACTTTTTGTAATTTGCCTCTTAGACCTTAAAATTCAATAATAAGACATACTATGGTACCATTTATTATCACTGCATAGCAAATGGTGTAAATCAACATCCATAAGACTAATCAACAACATGGATATTCTTACTTATAAGTATTACACTTAGTTTTAACACATTAAAAAATAAAAACAATAATATTAACGGAAACAATTGTAATAAAATGTACAGTGTCATGTATTTGTTTATCTACCAAATAAAAAAATATATTTACAAAACCATTGATAATTTTAGTTAATTCATTTTCCACCACATAACTGAATAATTGTATTATTGACATATCTCTGATAAAAAAAACAAGACATTGACAATATAGGATACTGGGCAATAATATTATGGGAATAAATTTACCAACATGTTTTCGAAATTGTAGCAAATATTACAATACTTTTCAATAAGTTTTTTGTTAGATATTAGAACATATTTCAAAGATACAAGACAACATAACAATAATTTTTTCTATAACATAAAGTCTACGATAAAAAAGATTATAAAATAAGGTATTGGCGTTAATTATAGTTAAATTGCCATCGTTAAAAATTAAGCCCTTGCTTTCTATTATGTATGGTTTTAATTAATTCTCTACTGAAAAATATTCCACACTGTTGTAATAAAAATCTCTATGTACAAATGTGTATTAGGCCTGTGAGGTATGATACAAATTTGGATGTAACAAAAGGGTCATTTACATTAAACTACAAGAACATGTATAGAATATGATCCCAGTGCCGGATAAAGTAAGCGCGGTGCCCGTAGCAAATTTTTTCAAAGAGCCTTTGACCTGCTATGGGCCTTAGTACTCAATACGTTTTATTTGCCGTCTAAAGGTTACAATTAATATTTTAATAGATTACTATAGGCCCCGTACGGCCCACAGGTACAAAAAGATCATGAGACTGCCTAGCAATTTAGAATAATTTTGATAAGAAACAAACAATTGAAAATTGAGTATACTACACAAATATTTTTTTCAATGCATATTTAAGGTAAATTGAATATACATCATCTTAATAAATTTTACTCAAAAAATTACGCTCATGCAGAGATGAGTGGGGCCCCTACCGCGCAGGGCCCGTAGCAATTACTACTCTTGCTACGTGGTTAATCCGGCACTGTATGATCCTACTAGTGATCATCATAATATGTTTATGTAATTAATATTTATATATTACATTGAAATAATTGTAATTAGGAAATTTTAAAATTACAAAAATTAAAAAAAAATATATTATTACAATAATCATATTTCATAAAAATAGGACTATAGAACATTGTTGAATGGACTTAGAGCATCGTTAATAAGTAGTTACTGCAAAATGAAAAATGGGATTGCTATAATACAGAATTAATATTTTTTGTCCTTTTATAATATGTCTTCAAAAATGTTTCATTTTCGGTCTATAAGGAGTTTTTGACGGTGTACCCTACTTTATAATCGAATTTAAGGCCCTCTTAGACTGCATCATTAAAATTTCAAATATTTCACAAATAAAACGATTAAAATTACAAATGTAATGAATATAACTGTTGTCATACTAAGCAATATGAAGAACGAAATAGAAATAATGGAATAAAAAAGTTAATATTTACACTCCTAATGTACACTTACAATAATTAGGTACAAATATTTTGGTAAGTTGCACCAAATTGGAATAAACATACCATTGATCACTTGATTTAATGTATAAACTCATGCCTTGGGGACAAAAATCTTTCAAAATCAATTAATTCTTGATGAAAATATCTACAAACTTTATAACAGTCTTCAGATTTACTTATATAAATGTATGTAATATCCCTGTCAAGTCAGTGCCTCATTTGTACTAGTGCTTGAAAATCTTCTTAAGCATTTATTAAGGTATGTTTATCATATCCAATGTTTAGGCACAATTACAGATGATAATAAAACATATTACAACATAACTCAATTGATTTGGAAGTAAAGATTAATTTTATACCTAGGTACCTAAGAATCACTAACATAACAACATTTAACATAGCAAATTGCAGTTCATAAAAACTAGAAAGTTGTGGCTTATTTCCTGATAGGTAAAATTGTTTTAACTTTACTTGTTTTGTATATTAAATAATAAAGTGATATATGAATCGACATTAAAGGTTTGAAAACTGTTTATTTGTGATGTTGTTACATATATTTGCCTGTCTTTGTCGTTGGTTTATTATTGAAGATCATATCAACCGTGTTTAATCATCATTATTGTATTGAATGAATATCATTATTAATTTTATTGAAATAGTTAACAGATAGTTATAAAATATTTTTTTAACGCAAATTCCTGTGTATGTTACATTGAATGTTTGTTACCACTGACAAATTGTCTTCCCATAATGTTTAAATTCTCTACATTCTAATGATAATACTTGTCGTTAATTAATTGAATGCTATGGTACATCAATACCAAACATTAAATTTATTTTTAAAATAACGACAAATTGGTAAACGTTACAGTTATTTATATATCTAATATGATATAACCATATAATAAAAAATTACAAGGTATACCAATTTTATAATTTGCTGAAATATTTATTAAATAAAAATCAAATTTATTATTTTGATTCAAAATTTCTATTATAATGGCTTCAGTTATGATACCTTATCATTTAAGCCTGCCTCACAACGCAATTCAAAACTTTATCTTAGAAAAGGACTATTCCTCATTTTATAAGCTCACTGTAGCCATTATAACGGCATATTTTAAAATTCGTACCACATTAAATGTGGTAATTGTAAATTTAGTATATAAGAGTAAAACTCCTATGCGATAATAAAATATATTAAATCTTTGTGCTAACTTACAATAAATTCATTTATAATAAACTATATACTATCTATATCTTATGAAAACCAATTACAACTTATTATGCGTGCTTTGCACGCTAAGTTTGTTTGTTAAATAATGTTATAGCTTCAGCTATATTTATCATTTTGATGGAATTTTTGTAGCTAATATACTATTAGACAACTAACATAAATTGCATCACCCTATTTATAAACTCCTACCTATCAAAAATTTCGATGTTCTATTCAAATTTACGATGAGCTTACATATTGTCTTGACTCATGTACCAGAATATCTAATTGTTAAGGTTATTGACACTGTCTTGGCCCAACATTATCGTTTTAGTTTTAAAACGAATTTACAAAATCAACCATTAAATCTTAACTTTTTTTAATGAATTCTGAATATGGGACTTTATAAAAGCAAGTCCGAGAAGATTCCTTACAAAATAAAAGAAACTTATCTTCTTATAGGTTTAGCTTAAGGTCTCGTAGAAAGGCGTTAGTAATTCAATTGATTTTATAATTATCACAATAATATGGTGCATTTGATTGACTCGGCTATTAGGGAGTGTGCTTTCCATATTTTACTTTTAAACTACGTTACACGTGTACAAATAAATGTTTAACCTTCATTGAAGGCATATAAAGAAACATTGTACTCTGAAAAGATACCCAATATTTTGGTATCCTACTGTACAAATTTGAATCACTATGTGATATTAATTAGTTGACTAGAGGTCAACGTACGGGGTTCCATCCATTTTATCGAGGTCAGCCAATAAGTCTGACGATGTTAATGGAGTCAATATGTCTTCACGCAACATGTCTAATGGCGATGAGAGTCCTTGATCACTATCCACAATATTTTGTATCTGTGTTGAGCCACAAACTTCCACTGAGTTGCCATTAATAAGGAAATCTCTATTGCTATAACTAAAAACGCTTCTATCTTCAGAAAGCTGCGGAGTAGATGGTACGGATTTGGAAGATATCCCATTAGAAATATTCGAATAATTCTCCGTTGCAAACAGTTCTCTAGAGCGACGTGAATCAATTTGCAAATTCGGCACCGTACGTTTGTATGGTAATGGTGTGCTTGGTACAGAACGCGATGTGTAATATTTATTTTTATCTGGCACTAAGTCAGACAAATCTAATTCAATATTGTTAGTGCGTTTTAAAAACTCCTCAACATTGTCTGTAGCGGAGCTGTCATTGCCAAACGATTGACTGAACTGGCTACTTCTACCGAGCAATTCACCACTCGCGGGAATAAATGAATTTAGTTGCTCATCGGTTAAGATTTGTTGTTCTGATATTGTGTCACAACCATTGCTTAAAGTATCGTTAGAGCTCAACAGGCTCGGTGTAGTGCCTGCATTAAGTACGTCGTTACTACTGTCTATGGCATCGTAAATTTTATCTAATGTTTCTGGATTAAGACCAGCCTTTGATATATCACAAGTGTCAGCAAGCGATCCAAAATCGCTGAACTCATTCGGTACGGGAGTAGGAGGAACGGAACCTACTGGAGTGTTGTTGTAACTTAAAAGACCAATATTATTAATGCCGGGCTTGAGAGGTACAGATTGCGATCTGTAAGAAGTGTCGAGACCTAAGCCATAGCTTACGGGTTCTTGAAAAAATTGGCTGACCTCACGCGATAAAGGGTCAGCCGACAACGGTTGAGCGAGGTCACCGTTTACATCACGGAAGAGTGCATTTGGAACAAAGTTTAGGCATACATTGTTGGTACCGTTTGGAATAAAAGAAGAGTTTTGTAACATTTGATTTTTATACTGAGTGATAATATTCGGCGATGGAGGCGCTGACATCGGTTGGCAATATTTGATATTAGGAGTGCAAGCTGCTGTTTTAGCCATAAACTTTTGATCGTTCGGCACTGCAAATTGCTTAGAACACGAATCGGTCATCCCGAGAGATAACGGATTTCGTCTTTTCCTTCCGTTCATCTTGGGTGTTGGTCGGGAACAAAGTCGAGATCTAGGTACAGGGGTATTTCTGGGGCTAACAAATGGACTAGCAGCTGTGCTGTGTGAAATTGGTGAAGTTTGAAGGGATCCACCCATTATAACAGACTTATTTATCTTCGATGGGCTGTTTCCTCTATCACCATAACCCACAGGCGATTTAGAATGAAAATTTCCTGGCGAATGACAAGCATCTGATATCGGTACAAATTCGTACTGCTGTGTTCTGGTTGTAGGGCTCTGAGGTTCATGGCAATTGCCGTTATAAAGGTGCGTCCCACCAATATTAGTCATCATTTGATTCGGAGTATCTGTTCCAAATGGTACAGGCACACCGTTTTCGCTAACGCTTAAAGTACTATGTTTATGATTAGCATCTATTTCACCCGGATTTGATAAAGTTGAGCCATTCATCAAATCAACTACATTCGTGCCCGCAATAGGTTTAAAAGCTCCTTCGGTTACAGGATCGTTCGACTTGTTCATTTTCTCCGGTGAGTTGTCCACTGGCAAATTTATATCTTGGTTTATTGTGATATTTTGTGTTGACCCACTTTGATTTTTCAAGTTTTTCGCTAACAGTTCTCGCAATTGAGATATTTTTTCACTTTTTCCTTGACTGTGTTCGTCTTGTGGGTCTTGGCTTGCTTCTAAAAAAGGTGCAGCATTAGCAGTCGAATTCGTCTGCACATCATGATCCGTATCGCGATGATTAAAATATTGCAACAGCTCTTCCTCGTGCTCTTGACTATTGCCTTCGTTAAGGTAATCATCTAAATCGTGTTTATCTATATTACATATACTAATTACGCGTTCTCTATTCAATATTTCAGAATGTTTCTCTTCGCATATCATTCCAGTTTTAATGTTGATCTCGACTAAGCCACAACAGGAGTCGGGCGACGTTGTTCGTTCAGGTAAGTTTGTTTTGTCCGGGGACGGTGCTTTTGTTCGGCAGTATAGTTTGCGTAATTTGGGGCGTTCGCACTTAGGCGTCAGAGCTTTCACCGACTGTGTCGGACTCGCCGCCTCCTGTTCCTCCCGAGCCAGCGCCGCGGCGGTGCTTTTGGACCGGCTCGTTAAGTTTTTTGGATCCTCTAAAAAAGCAACCTCGGAACGAGCGGACGTGTCAGTGGTTACGGTGTTAGACGATGTTGCTGCTTCGGAAACAGTGTACGACAGGCGGGCTGCGGCCAATTTGCCGCCCATAATTTCAGCGGCTCTCATCTTCTTCGGCAAATACTCTGTTCGCGGAAACTCCTCGGTCGCGTGTGGTGGTGGACGTGTATCCGTTTGGGACGAACGTGGCGAGCTGGCCTGTGTTTCGCTCTGGTAAGTTTCGAGTATTAGCTTTTTACCAGGTAGTGGGAGCCTAGTTGGCGGAGGTTCCGGTGGTCTGCGACGCTGTAGTTCGGTGCGCTCCGTAGACAGGTCCAGGGATGCGTCGCTACTTAGATTTATGGGCAAATTGTGGGTTGTGTCCGAGGGTAAGGTCAAGTCGCGTGGAGCATAAGGCGGTTCGAAGACGTACGGGTCCGCCCGATACTCGTGGACGGACAGAGAGTGTGGCGTTGGGGTCATGTGCGGAGGGTGAGCGCGGGGTGGGGCTCCATAAGGCGGGAAAGATGGCCTCACATCGTACACCGGTATATATGAGGGCTGATAACCGTAACTCGCCTCGGGCATCATTTCGCTTTCATGTTTTACTGGTGCGTGTTGACTTACATATGAAGTGGACGGGGGAGAGTCACCCGCCACCTCTTGGCTTTTATTCTTTTTCGGTCGCCCTGGTGTACCCTGCGTCTACAAAAACAATAGCTTTCCACTATTTGTACATAAAAGCAATACATGAAAGTAAAACTGTGTATTAAACTCACCTGTAGTTTTCGCTTTAGCTGCTTTATTAATTGACGACCAGTTCCATCATCTGAAGCTCCTACAAGATAAAAAAATGGATAAGTGTACTTACATCTGTATTATACATGACAAATCTTTAAATACAAGTAACTTTGTCAATTTCGAAGTATTTCTAATTACTTTCTTTAATTGTATCGTATTTACTTGTAGGTTGAAAATTTTCACTTAAATTTGGTCGATAATATTTAAAATAATTATATTAAAGTTATGCAATTGAAGCGGAATGAAAAATATCATTTGAATATGACGATAAATTTCGCCGAAAAAAAAATGTTATAACAGCTCGGTCGGTAATGGGGCGGCCCCGAAATAGAAGGCCGCGGTTCGTGTCACGATCAATTTACACACTTTTTTTTACTTCTTTTCTATCTGGTATAGAAAAGAAGTAAAAAATATTTCTTTATTTTTTATTTTTTTTATTTCCAAAATACACGGTTTACCAAAAAAAACCGACCGGTACTTGTAAGTTTAGTACGTGTTTCGTTTAACACAGTTCGTAATTTATTTTACTCTGGTAGCACAACCCCTGATTCTTATGCTGCCAGATAAATGCTAATAGCAAGTAAGGAACAAAAACTCTCGTTAATGTATTTCATTATAAGTTCAATTTGGATTGCAGACATTGCCGTCCAATTTCTTTGTGAAAAATGTCTATACAGTTAATTATACGTTAATATACCACGTTCACGGACAGAGTACTTTTTAATTTCGATGAAATTGAACATATTGAAACATTGAATAATTTTCTAATTGTTACTTTTACCTTGAGTAAGTGGTGGAGGAGAGCTACTTGATGGACCAGGTGGTGCGCGTTGAGTCCCACCAGTTGAAGATAAATGGCGTGAAAGCTCCCCTATGTTGCCAAACTTCAGACCTAGTGTTAAGGAAAAGTCATTGCTTAGCACAATCTTAAACAAAGTAATATTTAGTGCTATGTCTCTATTCACTCAGTAGGGGTATTGTTCATTCATAAAACACATGCTAATGTTATCCTAGAGTAAGGGGCAATGTTTTCGAAAGGAATACTACATCAGGTCTTGTAGGTCGCCCGTTAGAACTTACTACTCAACCTCTTGCTCAGAAAAGATAAATACAATTAAACTGTAGTTAATTAAAGTAAAATATAATATTATAGGCAAAATAGTTATTGACCATACAACTACTTTACCTTTACTGAAAAAATAAAAAAGGACTCAAAGGGGATAGAAAAGTGCATTGCAATGAAATTTACCACATAATCTTAATCTACTATAACTTAACATAAGTTTCTAATTGAAATTTGATACTTTTTATTGTGTCAGACAAAGACGCCTATTTATCTTAATAGATGGATTCCGTTTTAAATGTGTATCATTTGAATGACGTCTTTTATCGCTTTCGGGGCACAAATTTCGGGACAGTTATTTGTCCACATAAGAAATCTAATCAAACCCCCATTGAGGGCACCCATTTCTTTGATTGCATGTTCGACGTCACAGCCACTATGCTATCACAAAATTTTTTATCTCAATTAATTGAATTATCATTAACAAATAGATAACAGTTTTGTATTCATTATGTAATGTCATAATTTTAATGGCAATATGGACGCGAAGACCGTGAAGGTCGCAACACAAATTAAGGACTAGCATTAAAAAAAATTGTTAGGCCTACCCATTATATCAGTAAGAAAGGAGACCTGAACAGGTACCTCTCATCTATTCAAATGGTCTGAATTTAAGTTCTTTGTTCAAACTATTTAAAGCTTCACCAGGTATCAGCAACATAACTCACGAGGGTAAGCTGATTCCATCACAATAGTATAAATACTTCTGCCATATGCTGTTTATCCATGATCACTTCCCTGGTTAAGCCAGCTCATTAACAAAGCACTAGCTACTGCATGGCACTAAAATAGTGAAAAGTTTAGCAAATAGATAAGTTTTCCCTTTTAACATCCTTCATCTATTAACTAAGTGTTATTCTCTTATAACTGAATTAAGAAAACTAAGATATAACAAAATATTTGATTCTTACATACCAAGCTTGGTTTCAGCCCAATCACAAACAACTCTTTCAGTTTCTCTAGAAGTAACTGTTGCTTCCTGTAATGTAGGATTTATAAAAATAAATTTATTTAGGTGCTTTTTTTTCTTTTCAAAGAAATTTGCATGATAAAATATATAGAATAATTAAAAATCGTACTTTTGATGCTTCCCCTAAGTCTGGTAACTGAGGTACTTCCAGCTTGATCTTTTTTCGAAGCCCGGCATAACAGTACCTGTAATTTATAAGAACATACAAAATCACTTTAATATTATATATATATATATATATATATATATATATATATATATATATATAATATTAAAGTATATATATATATATATTATAAGGATCTTAACTGCAATAATAATTTAATTGCAATAATAAATTATTTAATTGGGTTAGCAAGATTATATAGAATAAAATTTATTTTTAACATTCATTACAATAAACTATTGCATAAAACAAAGATTCTGTTCTTCTCTCTTCCTACCTAGAGTTTCCGCGTGTTCCAAGGCGACGTGGACGTACACTCGGATATACTTGTTTCATTACCTTACCAAAATCAGCAGTTGACAAAGGTTTCATGTTACTACTCATACAATGAGCTCTGAAAAATTAAACAAAAAATTTAATGTTGCTCTTCAGACTGATATATTATCTTTATTTTATGAGGGTGGGTATTCATTATTATCCCTGATTATAAATAAAAAGTAGTTTTAAACTGTAAACACGAAAATATCATCCTATTTTTTAAACATTCACATTATTTATACAATAAGAAAGAAGCGCTATAATAGCTCAGCATACTGTTGCTTAATTTAAATTCTACAGTCCTCTCACATGTAAATTTAAATAGTTGAATTAACACATATTTAGAAAACATTGTTCATCAAGATTTCATCAAGATATGAAAAAAATTGATGGACTACTGTTAGTTACTGAAGCTAAACAATCCAAACAACAGTTTTAAGAGAAAAGCACTGATTAGAATTAATGCCAAATTAAACTTAATTTAATGCCAAAAAAAACTAGATAGCACTGAGGCCTATGACATATAAATATATTTTCAACATGCTTTTTTTATTTGAGAAAATGGCATACGAGTTGGCCATTCACCTGATGTTGTGATTACCTCCTGCTCATGGACATTTGCATCACCCATGGGGTTGCAGATGCGTTGCCATCTCTATAAAATGGGCCCTGGCTACCTCACTCACCAGACATAGAAGTGTAACACTTCTACTTCATGCCAGTTTTCTGTGAAGTCTTGGTACTAACCCGGATGGATCTGCCCATTCGCCTATGTACTTTCATTTTATTATTAGTGAGTATTTTGTATAATATACAATTTTTACTCAGTGTTTTTAATTTTTTTATAGTATTACATATTCTTAAGCGGCATCTCAAAATACGTCATCAAATTCTAGGGTGGATGCTAAAATATCAAATTTTCATGGTTTTTTTACTGTTAATGGTAAATATACTGCAGTAAAGTACTGTAAATATACTAGTTCAGTTGTACACTGTAACTGACTAGACACTCACATTCCTTTCGATGTACAATACTTACATGTACTCATCATATACATCTTGCTTTGGCAATGAAACATCTGGATCCACTTCCAAATGTGTCTGTATCCATGTAACAGTTTGCTGAAGTTCAGCCCTAAAATTTGAAAAGACCACTTTAAATTATGTGAAAATTTTCAAACAACAATTAAGAAACTTGCTTACATATTGGGTGACCTTAAGCAACAAAGCTTACACAATGTGTCTAACAGAAGACAACTATAAACAAAATATTTATTCATTTACATTTTGTATGGTTTGTATGTATACCAGAGGTACATAGTAGTTGGCAATATGACTGCAATACTATTACCATAGGGTGAGACATTAGTTTAAGTGCCATACTGTAAGTTATACTGTTAAATATCTTTAGTATAAAAAATGTAAGAAGTTATGTGTTATTATTTAAGTGTGATGATGAGAGATAGTTACCTTCCATACCAGCTTAATCCATTTGTACAATCTTATAAAAACAAATCGCTATGAGAAGAAAGAAGAAATAATCAAAGAGGAAATAATGACTATGTCTTCTCAGCTTTCGCAAGTAAGAATTGACCAAAAGGTACAATCAAGCTCAGACCAACTATTGGGAATCACACAAAATTATTACCCATGTAAAGCTTGAGAACATTGAGTAAAAACCGCAGAACCTTCCAAGATAACCAATTAAATCATAATGCAATTCATGCAGAACAACTTGGTGAACATTGCTAATAGCTATCATAGCACAAAGCAAAATATTACTTTAAAAAAACATTAACAACCAATTATATATAGCACTGGATATACACAGTGGATAAATTCGGAGTTCAGTGGGAATAAATTACTTAGCATTATAGAAAATGCTTTAAAAAGTTAATTGTGCTGGAAACATCTTCTAAAAGATAAAATATAATTTTTTTTCTTTATTATGAGTAGGTATTAAAAGTAGTTATTATGTATATTTTTAATGTAGCAGTTTCATAAAAATTGAAAAAAAAACCTTCAGTATCTCAAATTTTTTTCTGATTTCAATGAAACTGCAGTTTTACAGCAAGAATATGTAATATTGCATTTAAATAAAATAATAATGAACTGGAAGAATTGTTAGTAAAACAACTTTATCAAAGACTATGTGCAAACCAGCCCTGAGCATATAAAAAATTTGTAAAAAAATCATACCTGGAACCTAATGGGTTGATCGGTTGTTTCAATGGATCATGGGGAGGAACACCAGTAGGCAAACGGAGATAGAGTAATAGGCGCTCTGCGCCACTCAGGGCTTCAACAGCTTCTAACAATTGAGTCACTCTTTGCCTACCTTCTTGGCTAAAATTTTATGAAAAAATAAAATTTAACATTTAACTAAAAATCAACATAACAGGCACTATAATCAACATAACAATTATTTAGCCTTATAGTATTTGCTTGCCACTATTTCGGATATGTAAAAAAATTGTGCATTTCAAGAGCTTTAATATTTATTGTACTTTTATTATAAACTAAAAGATGACTTGATCATGTGCAAGTGTTCACATTGCAAAATTGTAATTTTTTTTAAGTATTTCATTATTGTTAAATTATGACAAAAACGTAATGGTTGATTAATATCAAACACTTTATCTAAAATTAAAAGAAGTCTTTTTCAACATTTTGTCAACTGAAATTGAAAAAACGTAAGCTTGACAAATTTGCGATACCTGAGAGTGTTCTCGACGATTTGTTGCATAGAAGTTATTTTGCTCGAGTCCATCTTGGACTCTTTACGAGGCGAAGTACTAATATCTGAACCTGGAGCAACTGATGGGCCTGCAGTACTGATTGAAGCAACGACACTTTCTTTATCGTAAGACGCAGTTTGCCTGTGTTTTGGATGATTGACATTTTCCCGATGAAGTTTCGCGTCATCTACTAATTCCCTATCGGTTTTAATGTTTTTTGTATTATCGTCAGTCGCCCACGGCTGAAAAGGAGTTGTATTATCCATTCTAACCCATCCAAATAGCAAACATTATATTGTTTGATATCATATTGGAACTTGTGATCATAATTTATTATGCGTAACAAAACTCCATTTTCTTGACAATTGACATTTGATCAGCTGTGAGGTGAGGCAGAGTGAAGGGAGGAGTAGGGATGAGGCGTATATACTGGAACAGGTATAAATACCCAGTTTGAACATACCAGTACGCACACCGGGTATGTACGGCAGAGGCCCGTTCCATACCCGATAGGTATGGCTGCCTCGTCGACGGTGGCGGTATATACGCTCGCGACAACCCGCCGGCCGAATAGGTACGAAGTTCCCCGAACGCTTACGGCGGCTCTTCCCGATCATGCCTGAATTGAAACGTATGATTTAGGCATTTTATACCAAATAATTCCTTGAGATAAATTTATTCTTTGTTTCTATGACCATAATGATGACGTTCTATGACCATCCCCTGATTTTTTCTTGAGGCATGGCCAGCATGAGGCTGATGCTTTCTCTCATCACGATCTTTTGTTTCTTTCATACAGAGTTCGCCTGCCTAAAGCTAAATCGAGAATCCTTCTGCAGCGTAGTTTTGGTGGAATGGATAAAAAACGTCTTCTTGAAGATGCTCGGCTTATTGATTGGTCTGCTGTTGCTTATGCTCCTACAGTCGACATGAAAGTTGAATTGTTTAATTCGTTTATTACACAGCTTTATGACGTGCATGCCCCCGTTAAACCCGTAAAAATAAAACATTTACTTGCGCCGTGGTTAACAGATGATCTTAAAAACATTATTAAGAAAAAAGGCTATGCGAAAAGCAAGCTGAAAGCTGATCATTCTGTTAAAAATCTGCAAAATTATAATAAACTGCGGAATCGCTGCAATACATTGTGTAGAGATGCACAACGACGCCACATTCACAAATCTGTCGAAAACGGCGACCCTGCCAAAGTTTGGAAATTTCTTCAATCTCTTGGAGTTGGTAAAGCGTCTTCTAGTTTGCTTCACCATAATATAGATATTGAACTCCTTAATGAATATTTCACCTCTTCTAGTTCCTTAGATATTTCAGATAAGTCGCGCACTCTGAACATTCTTTCTTCCATGCCAGCTCCTGAATTTCCACCGTTTAATTTCATTCCTTTCACTGAGTGTGATGTTAAGAAGAACATATTATCAATCTCGTCTAATGCCGTTGGTGACGACAACGTTAGTCGTAATATGATTTTACCTATCCTTGACTTTATTACTCCTATTATCACCCATATCCTTAACGCATCAATCTCTTCATTCAAGTTTCCCGAAGCTTGGAAAAGTGCTCAAGTGACTCCTCTCCCTAAGAAAGCCCATGCATTGCAATTTTCCGATTTTCGTCCTATTTCTATTCTCCCGTTCCTGTCTAAAGTTCTAGAGAAACTAGTTTTCCAACAGTTAAATCTCTATCTGAACAAAAATTCTCTTCTTAATCCTCTTCAATCCGGTTTCCGATCAGGTCATAGTACGACTACAGCGTTGGTTAAAGTTACTGATGACATTCGACGGGGTATGGATAATAAACAGCTCACTGTACTTAAGTTGCTAGATTTTAGTAATGCATTTAATACCGTCGATTCTGACATTCTGTTGAGTGTGTTACGTTCTATTAACATATCTCCACTAGTGATTGGCTGGTTTCAAAGTTATTTAAGTGGCCGACGGCAGCGTATTCGCATAGAGGATGAATTCTCGTCTTGGTGTGAATTGCGCGCCGGAGTGCCTCAAGGTGGTGTGTTGTCTCCTCTTCTATTTGCCGTATTCATTAATTCAATTTCTTCTCTCTATCACATGTATGCAGACGATCTCCAAGTGTACACACAGTCAATTCTTGAAGACTTGCCTACTGCTGTTTCCACCATCAATGATGACCTGGCCGCTGTCAGTGAATGGAGTAAAATCTATGGTCTCAATGTTAACCCTACTAAGTCCCAGGCTATTATTGTTGGTGGTATTGGTTTGATTTCAAGAGTTAACTGGAATAACCTTCCTTTGGTAAAATTAAATGACGTTATAATACCGTACTGCACCACTGTGAAAAATCTTGGTGTCCAATTTGACAATTCCCTCTCGTGGTCGGAACAATTGAATCAAGTGAGCCGAAAAACATTTGCTGCGATGGGTTCTCTCCGTCGTTTACGTTCTTTTCTTCCCATTCCAACTAAAATTATGCTAGCACAATCCTTACTCCTGTCCATTCTCGATTATGCGGATGCAAGCTATCTTGATTTAACCGAAGAACAACTAAATAAACTTGAGCGTATTCAAAATTTAGCCATTAGGTTCATATTTGGTTTACGCAAATATGATCACGTTTCCGAATTTTGTTCAATGCTCAAGTGGTTACCCATTCGTTTTCGCCGGAATCTACACACTGTCTCTCTTCTGTACTGTGTATTATTTAACCCTAGGACTCCAAGCTGTTTAAAGGAACACTTTAAGTTTCTTGGCCATAACCATCCAGAACGAGTTCTGCGATCAGCTGAAGATCTAATTCTAGCACCACATGCATACAAAACTAAATATTATAAGAACTCCTTTACAGTTAAGGCCATCTGCTTGTGGAATGAACTTCCTCAGCAAATTCGTCGTTCGAAGACGCTAGACAAGTTTAAAATTGACGTAAAACAACATTATCTATCGCTTTGTAATCCATAGTTTTTAATGGCAATATTCAGATTTAATTCTTCTCTCGTGTATTTATTTATATATATTATATATTTATTTATGTTTATGTATGTTTATTATAATTTTGTTTATCTTATTATATTTAAGTCTATTTTGGTATTAAGTAAGTTTATTGAGCACACCACCTCCCACTATTCATTTGTTTATTTTTCCTCGTCCTAAGGTTGTCTGGAAGAGATCGCTTTTTAGCGATAAGACCGCCTTATTGTACCTAGCTTTTAAGACTTATTTCATACTAATTGTCTTGTATCTTGTATTAACTGATGTTTGTGCTTTCAGTCCAGAGACTATTAAAGCTTCATCTGACGCAGAACCGGTGGGCTAGCCAGAACCCACGAGTTTGGGCCCTCCGCTGTGGGTAGGGCCGCGCATGTGCTGATGCGTGCGTTTAACTACGGCATGTCATCTAAGGGCCATCGAAGTAGCGGTGCGGACCGGGACCCCGATGGCCGTCGACTGTGTTTTTAGCTAATCGGTGGCTGGGGGCGGTGAGAACCACCCTGGAACGCGGGTGTACCTTGTGTACGCGTTGTGTTGGTCTCGCCGTGCTCGGAGGCGAGGGCGAACTAATGTGTTTGTTGCTACACTAACTGTGTGTGTAGTGTTATCCGGCGGGACCCCCGACGGTGGGTCCGACGTACCTAAGTCCCCTTCCTCGACCGGGTCGATGAGGACGTTTCGCGGGCGACGCTTGTTGACGCTCGCGTTTGGATCGGGTTGGTAATTTGCTGCGCTTACCACCAGAGGGTTGGGATGATGTTCGGCTCTATCGAAGAACCGTTTGGTCAGGTCTTTGAGAAATTCGCGAATCATCGGGAGTCTGCAATCACTGTGCAGGTCGACGTTGCGTTGATACCACTGCGCACCGGTTGCGCGGCGGATGAACTTATTTTGCACTACTTGCAACTTGTGCAAGCGAGTAGGGTGCGTGTGGGCGAAAATCATGCATGCGTAGGACATGATTGGCCGTACGCAAGCTTTGTATAAAAGTAATTTGTGTCTTAAGGACATTTTACTTGACTGGTTAGTTAAAGTGCTTAGCCGGCCGGAGACGAACGCGGCTCTGTTACGGACGTTATTAATATGCGCTATGAATGACATACGCGAGTCGAAAGTGACTCCTAAATATTTTACCTTTTTCTCCCAGGGGAGCGGTTGGCCATAAAGATATATTTGCCCTAGCTTTCTGCATTGGCGACGACCTTTATAAAGATGTGACGGGTAAGTACTTCGTGTGAAGTGAATCGCCACACTCTTTTCGGGATTTACTTCAATTCTCCATTTGCGGAACCAATCGCCGAGGCGGTTGGCGGCGCTTTGGAGTCGAGTGGTTAGTTGACTAAGGTTGCGGTCTGAATAAAAGAGCGCCGTGTCATCCGCGAAAAGCGCGAGATTGACGTGGGGGTCTTTTGGTATATCGCTCGTGTAGAGCGTAAAAAGTAAGGGTGAGAGGCAGGAGCCTTGTGGAACGCCAGCCGTGAGGCGGCGGCTTGTGGAGAGGGCACCTTCAACTCGATATCGAAAGGAACGGTTCGACAAGAAGGCCTGAATGGCGTGTACAAGCCTGTCTGGCACTTTGAGTGAGAACAGCTTGTAAATCAAGCCGTTGTGCCAGACTTTGTCGAATCGACAGAATGGCGACATCGAAGAAAAGAGCCCCCGTGCTAATATGTTTAGGGTGATTTAGGCCTTTTAGGATATGTTCCGTTAGGCGGTATAATTGATCGGGACAGGAATGTCTTGCTCGAAAGCCGAATTGTTCTGCCGGCAGAAGGCCATTGGAAGTATACTAATTGTATCAAATTCTTTGTGGTGTACAATAAAGTATATAATAATAATAATAATAATAATAATAATAATAAAGTAAAGTAAAAAGTAAAGTAACAGCCTATACATGTCCCACTGCTGGGCAAAGGCCTCCTCTATAGAGAGGGTATCAGGGCATAGTCCACTACGCGGCCCCACTGCGGGTTGGCGGACTTCACATATCTTCGAAATATATTTTTTTTTGTTATTATTTCGAAAATATGCAGGTTTCCTCACGATGCTTTCCT